TTGACCCAGACTTCCCCCGCTTTATCTCTAGAGGCAGGTAGTCTACCTCCTTTCACAGGAAGAGGGTTACTCCATACCCTGTTATACCAAGCATAAGAGGCAACATCTCTGTGTCTGACTTCAAAACACCAGCAAGAAAGCAAACCAAACTACTAAGCTTTCCTCCAGAAGACAAGAAAGATTTATACACACTAAAAAGAAAGCCATCTTTCTTCCAGGGCTGAGATCTTTCAAAATTAATTTTAGCAGGAAGGTTTTCTTATTGCAAAAGGTAATTCCAGGAGAGAACTGAGCAGCTGATCTTTACCTAAGCAATAACTATTATAGAGCTTTGGGTAGGTACTGTAGCCTCAGTTCCTCAAACAACTGGTGCCCTAAACTGGCAGTAAAAAATGATTTGCAGACCTGTTGTCATAGAATAATAAAAAATTAGGGTTGGAAGGGACCTCAGGAGGTCATCTAGTCCAACTCCCTGCTCGAAAGCAGGAGCATCCCCAATTACATCATTCCATCCAGGGCTTTGTCAAGCTGGGCCTTAAAAACCTCCAAGAATGGAGATTCTACCACCTCTCTAGGTAACCTGTTCCAGTGCTCCACCACCCTCCTAGTGGGAGCATTTTTCCTAATATCCAACTTAAACCTCTCTTGCTGCAACTTGAAACCATTGTTCCTTGTTTTGTCATCTGTCACCACTAAGAACAGTTTAGCTCCATCCTCTGTGAAACCACCCTTCAGATAGGTTAAGGCTGCTATCAAATGCCCTCTCAATCTTCTGTTCTGTAGACTAAAGACGACCAGTTTCCTCAGCCTCTCCTCAGAAGTCTTGTGCCCCAGCCCCAGTAACCATTGTTGTTACTCTCGGCTGGAATCTCTCCAATTTGTCCACATCCTTTCTATAGTTGAGGTGCCCAAAACTGGACACAATAGTCCAGATGTGGCCTCATCAGTGCAGAATACAGTGGAATAATCACTTCCCTTGATCTGCTGGCACTGCTCCTACTAGTGCAGCCCAATATGCTGTTAGCTGTCGAGACCCAGGGCAGCCGGCCAGCAGCTCTCCCTGACTCCCACCCGGGCAGTTAAGGGTCCGTCAGGCGGGTACTTGTGACGCATGGAGTGGAATTAATTAGGCGGACGCTTATCGGTTGCAAAGCAAGATTATTTACTCACGCCGTCAAGGTGGTGAAAGATGGAGGTCAGATATACTTAGTTAGTTACAGCTTAGAGTTCGTTCGGTCGGTCTGCAGACATATATACGGGCCGGCGGTCGGCAGGGTTAGGCTTATCGGGCATGCGGGTCAAGGGTACGCCAGGGAGGTCGCGGCGGGAAGACGCTGACAACTGATCAAATTGTCAGATGCTGGACCCCCATAAATATGATCCTTCATAATATTTTCAAAGACCTTTCCAAGGATGGAGGTGAGACTGACTGGCCTATAATTACTCAGATCCTCCTTCCTCCCCTTCTTGAAAATAGGGACCACATTGGCCCTTTTCCAGTCCTCTGGGCCCTGCCCCAAGCACCATGAGTGCTCAACCAGCCATGCCAGTGGTTCTGCTACGATACTGGTCAGTTCCTTCAGCACCTTCGGATGCAGCTCATCCGGGCCTGCTGACTTGAACATATCCAGTCCATCCAAGTGACTCTACACCAAGTCTGTGTCAACACCCTCAGCACCCTTGGATCCATTGCATCTGGTCCCATGGATTTGTACACATGCAACTTTTCTAAATAGCTCCTAACCTGTTCTTTCACCACTGAGGGCTGCTCATCTTCTCCCCGAACTTTGCTGCCTGGTGCAGTAGTCTGGGAACTGGCCTTGCCTGTGAAGAATGAGGTGAAAAAGGCATCGAGTACTTCAGTCTCTTCCTTCTCATCAGTCATTAGGTTGCGTCCCCCATTCAGTAAGGGACCCACACTTTCCCTGACCTTCCTCTTGTTGCTAACATACTTGTAGAAACCCTTCTTGTTACCCTTCACAAACCCTTCTTGTCCTTCCCAGACCTGGGGAATATCCTCTCTCTTTGTGGATTCCTCCCTGAGGAATTCACACCTCTAGGTACACTGTGTGAGATGCACACCCGGTATAATAACTTATGTCAGAGCAAGAACCTAGACTGTTCCCAGCCTGGTAGCCAGACTGTTTTGAATTGCACTGGAGTACTCTCTGTCATGTCTTGAGAAGATCACCACATGGTCGGGGTCTCTACCCGACTAGATGTAAAGCAGCTGTAGAACTTTAAGGGGCCACTTGCAGTTTGTTACTGGGAGATTTCCAGGGTGACAGGGTGCCTGTTCCAGACCCGAGCCAGGAGAGGCCATTTATGCAAACCATTTGCTCTTCACTTCTTTTAGTGCTGATGTGGAGATAGAAGCAAATGGCTGTAATAAATGCCTCTTGGTGACCTCTGGAACAGATCTTTTTAGCCAGAGTAGTAGTAGTAAAAGGGCTGTGCATATACTAAAAACTTAAGAGAAAAATAAACAAATTGGCACTTGAAAGAAGCAGATACATTTAGTAGTAAAGCATTTTATAGTAAATCACCAAATAGAATTCTCATAGCCCTTATCAAATACTTCATTTAAATAACTAAAACAAAACAAAACTGTATTTCTGGTGGCCACAGCAATGCATGTTTTCATGCTAGGTGGAAATCTAGAGGTGGTGGAAGACATATTTAATTATTTTTCTTCTATTCATTTTACATTTAAAGCCCCAGTTTTTCTAAGACTTATCCAGGTCCTTTTAACTTTACATAGAGAAGAGTCCCACTCTAGTCAGGCACATGCAGAAATTTAATAATATTTATCCCACTAATTCAGCTTGTGACAATATGTGGGTCAGTGAAAGGATCTAGGGCCAGATCCCGAACTCCTTGAAGTCAATGAGAGTCCTTTTATTGATTGTGATGAGCATTGGACCAGGTTTCTAGTACATTTATCTACCAACATACATAGTTTACACTACCATGTTTCAAAACATACAGGGCAAGAGATAGAACATTTAAACAGTAATGTCATGCATTCATCTACTTAAATATGAAAAATAAAATATGAAAAAGTGCATAGATTTACAGAAGCAAGCCTTTCTTTGCTCAGGAAGGGCACCTGATGTCCAAAAGCTTGTTCATCAGCTCTTCCAACTATATAGTTGGTCCAATAAAAGGCATTATCCAAAAGATTTGAAGCCTTTGAGTAATAGGTTCTAATTGAAGTCATCCCTATCAATATGCTCTGTATCATCACAGACTACCGCATCTTAAGTATCATTGGCTGTACGTGCTGTGTCACATTCCTCCCAGGCCAGGTACTATGTCCTTTGTGAAACTTTAGCAATAGCCCATTTATGTAAAAGCAAATAAAGTTAGACCAAGGTACTCTGCTAGAGAAAAGGAAATAAATGGAAAATCTCCAAAAAGCACCAAGGGACAAATGTGACAAAGCTGGGGTTTAAAGAAACTTAGAGAATGAACAAACAGCAAGGCTCAGTTGCACAGGACAGGATGGCAGGAAGAGATATTTTTCCACAGGTGTGGGGAAAAGTCCATTGCATTTGATTTGCCTCGGGGTTCAGCAAAGGTCAAAGTGAATTGTCTTGAACTAGAGGAGAGAGACTGAAAGACCACAAACAGAAGCCACTGAGCTTCAGGAGAAGGATCCAGGACCCAAGCCCAAAGACCTATCCAGAATGAGGAGGAACCCAAGACAAGAAAATGCATACAGATGTATTTAATATTTTATCTCCAAAATTCTCATGATGAACTGTAGACTCCCAGTGCCTACACACAGCTGGAATTGTGATAGAGGGTTAGTTAAATCAGCACCAATCCCAGGACCCAGGAATTTGGGCCACAGAACCCATATCTCAGTAGGGGATGATAACCAGAGGACCTTACTTTTGAGCATGTGCCTTAAGACCCTTAAGTGGGAGAAATTCAGACTCACAAGCAGCAGTTGGCAACCTATGTCCTGCAGGCAGGACCTAGTCTCTGAAGAGACAGAGAAGGTACCGCCAGTGCCTGTCTTTTCTATCTGTTCCCTATATGAAATTTGCTGTTCACTGTGAGGGGGTTGCAGGGGTGTGGCTTGCAGCAGGGGCTGGATTGCAAGGAGAGGACAGCAGTGGTAGAAGCATGCCAGCACTTCTCTAGGGACTTAGCGTACATGTACATGTGACAGGGGTGTATTTATTCTAGGGTTTATTCAAGGTTTTATTCTATGCCCCCTAAACTGAAAATGTGGGGCATAGAATAAAACCCTGAGGACTAAACAGTTTCAAGTTGCTCCATCACGTTATGGCAAGGGGCCCGATCCTTTATTTATTTATTTATTGTCAGAACCAGAGCCTGCCCATGGCTGTGGGGTGAGCTGAGCAGACCCTGAGCTGTGGGGAGCACCGGTCCTTCCCACTGCAGCAGTGGCATCTCCTGGGGCCGCCCAGGCAAGCTGCTAGTGGGCCACATGCTGCCCCAGTTTGGAGGCAGCACCCAGCCAGATCCAGTGACCTGTGCACTGTCTCTGCTGCCTTCCCACCTCCTGGGAATGAGCTGGCTTGCCCCTGGGGAAGGACAGGGAGGCAGCAGAAGGGGAGCTTGTGTGCTGGCAGCCAGAGAAGGCAGTGGGGCTGGTGCACAGAGCACTGGAAGTCTGCTGAGCCCAAGCTTCCTGGAGCCCACCTG